CTCTCTCACACACACACACACACACACACACACACACACACACACACACACAAAGATTGAATTCCTTCCCCCTTCATGTCCAAAATCATGTGAAAATTCAGGGGGAAAAATAACAATAAAAAGGCCCTTGGTGAACGTTATGTAGATTGTACTTCTCAAAAAAAAAAAAAAATCAGGGAATCATTAGTAAAGCAAAATGTTTCAAGATTCCGGGAAATAATCAGCAGAGAGGATAAACTGAGAAGAAATAAGACTGGAGGAAATCCTATGCTAAAATGTGCCCAGAAGAGATGGTGTCAAATCCCAGGGATATTCTGAGCTAGCTCCATGAGTCAAAGGAACAAGGAACAAGGTTAGGGCCAATCTCAAGGTGCTGACCCTCTTTGGATTTTCTCTAATTCTTGGGAATGTGGGGATACCACTCTCCTGGCTGTGCTTCAAGGGGACCATGTGACTGCTTCTGTCTAGAAGGAGGGAGGAGGACTATTCCTAGCACTGTGGGTCACCTCCGGGCCCAGCTAGAAGAGCAGGCCTGCATCCTCCCTGCAGCTGTGAGTGAGGCTGTGTTGTCACTGCAGAACCACAAGATGAAAACCACCGAATCTCTGCGTCATTGCATGGAGGGCCGCTTTCCAGAGAATGGACTGGATCCTGGCATCAGAACTTAAATAAGTGAGAAATTGTGGAGCCACAGAAATGTTTTGGTTGAATTTGTTCCTTGGCATTGAGTAAGCTAATCTGTCTTACGTAGGCATTTACGTGATCAAAAGTTGGAAACCTTCTCCCCTGAACTTCCTCATCTGCAGGGACCAGCTGTGTTTACACTCAAAATGAAACCCACGTACTCTTTTCTAAAGAGAGTGATCAAGTGATTCATCTTCTTTATGTAAAAATTGGGGCTTATAAGAGAAGCCAGACCTGAGCAGAATCTGAGTAATGCCAGATCCCCAGATCAGGGTGGAGGGGAAAGGGAACTACTCAGGGGAGGGGAGGGGACAACACACTGAATTAATGTGTCTCTCTTTTCCCCGGCAGTTGGCCTTCTACTCTGCACCCACACACCCTGGTGCAAAGCTTACCAAGGAATCATCCTGCCCACCCACACAAAGCCACAGATGAGCTCCCAGGTGAGCAATTTGTCCAAAGAACAGAGGTAATGCTAGAGAGACATGTGCCTGGTATAACCAATGACCCCAAAGTTCTCCACAGTACTCTCACGGCCCCTGATGGCATCAGTATCCATGTGGACAACTCCTATATATCCTGCAGGCTGCCAAAGAATCATCATTCTAAACTACAGGCCACTTTGCAAAGAAGACCCCTAGTAAACTCCAGGAAACTGACCTGGGGGTGTCATGCACACTCCTGGCCTCACTATCTAGGATAACTCCTGGTCAGCCTCTATCTCTCAGGTCTCACTGTGGCTGTCCTCCACTCCACCTCCATCCCCACTTCAGACACCCTGCACCTTGCCTTTTCTCTTAACACACATTATCACTGTTCTTTGGGACTTTGTTGTCCTCTCTGCCTTGTGTTCTTCCTTATCCTGTTGTCTGTATGAAGTGGTCTTTCTTCTTTCAGGATTGGCCCTTTGAGATCTTGGCTACAGCTGTGCATCCTCTGGGCCTGAGGGTAAGGTGGGATCCCCTTTTGGTGTGCTGTCTCACCCCCAGCCACCCTGACAGTTCCCTTCTCTCCACCCCAATTCATTTTTTTATCAATTGTTTGCCTGCTTCACTCTCCCATGAGATGAGGGGCTTCTTAAGGCAGTTCCTTGGGTATTCATCTTGGTAACCAATTATTTAGCAGAGCAACCTGCACAGAATAGTTAAAACTCAAGGAAATAAGGGGAGTGGGGAGAAGAATGGGAGACAGTGAGGGAGGAAGGACAGTGTTCCCACTAAAACAATTGACATCCTGATTGAAAGTACCTTTAAATATCCAGACGTTTAATCCACTTGAAGTCTTAACCCATAACGTCAGGGCTAACAAGAAGGGCAGCATCAGGGACCAGAGTTGGCACTGGATCACCCCAGTGTGTATATCTTGGGTGAGGAAGCCCTGTTCGGCAGGTTTGGAGGTGGCTTCAAGCAGGCAAGAAGAGACCTCCACCAGCAGCAGAAGCTGCTGCATCATAGCCCGGAAGGCAGGACCTTGAGAAATGGACTCCAGGACCTGAACTGGGATCTGCAGCACAAAATGCAAGGTATGGGTGGATTTAGTGAATGGTGATACCATGATATCCAGCACTAAACACGGTAAGGCCATATCCATGGAAATGTAGAGCCCTGTTACTCATCACTGGTCAGATCACCAGCAGAGAGTAGGGCTTTTGAAGACCATGAGGCACAATGCCAAAGAACCCACAAATCCCTTTGTTCTGAGACATGGCCCAAAAGATCACTAGTTGCTCTCTCCAGTGCAATTAAGATTGGCATCAGCAGAGCAGGGACCCACCTGCCAATGAGAAGATGGCACCAGGACAAGATGATCTATGAACCACAGAGGCCAGCAGCCCTCCTTATTGCCAGACAAACCTCTCCAGAGTGTGGTCCATACTTGGTGTGGATCTCATCTGCACCTCAGTAGATAATCCCTTCTTATCAGAGAATGTCACATCTGCTTGTGAAGAGCTAAAAATCATGAATCTGAAACTCACAGATTTAAAATTCTCTTGCTTTGCCACTTAAAAGAAAGAAAGAGAGAGAGAAAGAGAAAGAAGAAAGAAAAAAGTAAAGAGGGAAGGAAGGAAGGGAGGGAGGGAGGGAACAACTGGGGTAGATAAGCTCCCAAGCATAGATGGATGAAATAGCCTCCGTCACTTTCACACTTTTTATTGTAGGAAGCAAACAACCTCAAAGAAGATTTTGGAACACCACTGAATATGCAATATGGTGGCTCAAAGATTCTGCTCCTTAGGAGGGAAAGGTCAGGAGTGAAATGAAATATGTGTTTACTAGAGGAGGTGTGGGTAATATTTCTATGACTTTAGCTGCTGGCATGACTGTGTTAGATTGCTGACTTCATCCTTTTTCACAATTGGTAAAGAAAAAGGAAAAGGGAAAAGGAAAACTCTCCTAGAATACCAGAATCAGTCATAAAATACGAATAGAGTTAGAGGAAGAGCATGTGCCACTGCTTCTGGGATTCACCATGGTTGTTGGTCATGGACTTGACCCAGCACACAAAGCAGGCAATGAACTAGGGACCTGAAGGGGTGTCTGTAACTCATAGATAGAAGATGTTGGATTCTCCTGCTCTATGAAAGGAAAACCATGCATTTCATTTATTTATTTAGTCTAATTATGTATATAAGACAGCAGAATGCATTTTGATTCATTGTACACAATTGCAGCACAACTTTTCATCTCTCTGATTGTACCCAATGTAGTGTTGCACCATATGTGCATTCACACATGTACCTAGGGTAATGGTGTCCAACTCATTCCACCATCTTTCCTGCCCTCATAAAATCATGCATTTTATAAAGGCCAGACATCTTTGAAAGCTGGATTGCTCATGAGCAGCGTGTCCTCGAGCACACACTGAGGCACTACATGTTCATCAATATTATAGAGATGATCAAGTGTGCATGACACTATTGCTGTGAGGAGAAAATGAGGCAAAATGAGCAAGGATTTTGCAGTGGTGGACCAAGGGCCCATGTAAATCTTCCCACCCATAAAAGAAACTAAAGCCTTAGCAAAAAGTGTCTGAACAAACCTCTGCAGAACTTTGAAATTCAACCACACCTAAAACAACCTGAGAATTTTTTCAAAGGGAACAGCTAAATGACGGTAGAACAGTTGGGGTTAGGACAGTGCAACCTGCCACCCTTCAGCCCACTCTCCCAGTCCAAGCAGAGAATCGAAAAACAGCAACCGGGAAGCCATCCGAAGGAAAACATGGGTTTGGAGGGTCTTGAAAAGTCCCATTCTCAGAGCTTTATCATAAATCAGCCTGTCTCACAGGCCAGCAGGAAAATCCTATTGACAAGCCATTTATCAAAACCCTAATGACAATTGCTTAAATGTCACAACTGCCTGAAGCTGTGATGTCAGTTAAGGCAAATGAGACCCTGGCCAAAATATTAAAGGGAAGATGGAACAAAAGACCCAGGAAAGGGACCTCTGAAGAGCTCTCACATAGTCTTGGAGATGCCCCAAGACAGATCCCCACAGACCCCAAGCTGTCACCCATGGCTCACCTTGAGGACTTGTGCAAGGAGTAAGTGCAAGGGGAGGCAGGTATGAAGACTGTCTCTGTGTGGAAGGTGTGGCTTCACAACTGCACGGGGCACATCAGTGGAGGGTGGAAGACTTACTAGTTACAGGAATTGAAGGAAACCTCTGTTCAATCACTGCCTGACCACTAAGCTAACCGGTCAGAGACCTTGATGGCTGCACTCTACAGGAAATTCAGACTCTAGAGAAACAAGCAGCAGTAGAAACAACACAGCAGGAACATCAACAGCAACAAACTGGTTTTCATGATGCATTTTGGGGGACATGTAGGAATATCTGATTTTCCTAGTTTATACATTACTATTTAAAATATCAGGGGCTGGGGCTGTAGCTCCGTGGTAGAGTTCCTGCCTAGAGCATGTGGGGCACTGGGTTTGATCCTCAGCACCACATAAAAATAAATAAAGATATTGTGTCCATCTACAACTAAGAAATATATTTTTAAAAAATCAAACATTCAACATAAATATATGAGACTTACAAAAAGTGAGGAAAATGTGACCCATTAACAGGGGAAAAAAGATCAATCAGTAGAGACTTTTCATGAGAAGATAGAAATGGTAAATTTTCTAGGAAAAAAACCTCTTTATTTTAGTTATTTTATTTATTAAGTGTTGCTGGGGTTAAAACCCAAGATTTATGCATGCTACCCAAGTGTTCTATCACTGAGCTACATGCCCAACCCTAGAAACACACTTTAAATTAGCTATTACAACTATGTTCAAAGAACTGAACATAGTTCAGTTTAAAGAACAAAAGTTGAATGAGATAACAGAGGCCCTCCAAATAGGGACTGCTGATGAAGAGATGATGCTGTAATATTTAGATTACCAAATACAAATTCTAGAGCCGAAAAGTATAATATATAGCATGAAATAATTACTAGAGGAGTTCGATATCAGCTATGAGTTGTTGAAAAAGAAGTAGGGAACTTGAAGCTCCATCAAAATAGATCATGCAATCTGAAGAACAGAAAGAAAAGGAATGAACAAAAACGAATAGAACCTCAGAGATAAGGGGAACACCATCAAGTTTTATATACATAATGAGAATCCCAGGAAAGGAGGAGAGCACAGAAAGAATATTTGAAGAAATCATGGCCAGAATCTTCCTAATATGATGAGCATTTATCTGCATGTCCAAAATACTCAACAAATTCCACGTAGTATCAACTCCATATCTTAACACATCAACCATCCAGAGAATCTTAAAAGAGGGGAAAAAAAAATCAAAGACTTGCTGTATCCAAGTTTTCCTCAGTAAGATTAACAGCGGTCTTATCATCAAGAAACACAGAAGCTAGAAGGAAGTGGAATGGCATTCAAAATGCTGAGAGACAGGATTGCAAACCAGTAATTCTTCAAGAAGAAAACATATCTTTCAAAACCAGAGAAGAAATTTACACTTTTCCAGATAAACAAAAACAAAGAATTTGTCACTCACCCATTTGCCCTACAAAGAATACTAATGGGAGTAATTCAGGCTAAATTGAAAGGACAATAAACAGTAATTTAAATGCACACACACAAAATAAGAGCACTAGTAAAGACGGCTACACATGTAAATATAAAAAAGAATAAATGTATTTTTCATTTCTCTGAGGTATAATTATTAAACAAAAGTTGTATATGCTTATGGCATATGATTTTTAAATATATGTATATATTGTAAAATAATTGCCACTTCCATCACCTCCCATAGATATCTTGTTGTGTGTGTAGTGAAAACACTTAAGATCTATTCTCCTAGAAGCACATTATTACCTTCAGAACTTGTGCATATTATAATTGCAAGTTTGTATAATTTATATTTTATAGAATTGCAAATAGCAAGATATCGTTCTTTAAGGCTGAAGAAAATATTCCATTTTATGTGTATGCTATATTTTCTTTATCTATCCATCTATGGACAGATACTTAGGTTGTTTCTATATCTTGGATATTGTGAATAATTTTGCAATGCAAAAATTACTATCTTGAAGATAGTAATGACTGTCTTCAAGATAGTAATTTTATTTCTTTGGCTATACACCCAAAAGAGAAATGTAAAGTAGCAAAATCTTAAAAAAAAAAAAAATACTAGCAAACCAAATTCAACAGGATAATTAAAGAAGTATGTCCCATGATCAACTGAAATTTATTCCTGGGATTAAAGATGGTTCAACATGCATATCAACTATTGTGATACACTCATTATCAGAATGAAGAACAAAAATCTTCTGATCATTGCCACAGTCTGGCTGGGCACAAAATCACGAGCCACTCAAGCAGGAACAAACTTTATTTTTGAAACTGCCGCCAATGCCCCGTATGTTCCCGGGAACAAACTGCCAACAGACACACGTGGCAGTTCTCCCGGACCCCAACAGGAAGTCCCTCCTCCGGAATTCCCTCCTACGGCACTTCCTCAACCAATGGGAACTCTCCAGGAGTCCCTTAGCAAGCTGAGGTGGACAGCAAGGGTCTAATATCCATAAGAATGCAGATCTTAACATAATCATATCATCTCAATGGCTTGCTGGAGTCACCTTTCAACCAAAAATGCCATGCATTATACTACTTGGCTATGGCTCTTAGCAGATCATCTTATGTAATAGATGCAGAAAACTCATTTGACAAAACTATCATTTCACAGATAGAAAAAGAAAACCTTAGCAAATTAAATATAGAAGAAATGCACAATAAAAGCCATGTAATACAATCCTCTAAGATCAGAAACAGAATGCTTTCTCTCTCTCTTTTTATTATTTATATTTTTAAAAATTTATGTGTGTGTGTATTTTGTTTTGTTTTGTTTCAGTGAAGCAACTGAACTCAGGAGCACTTTACCACTGAGCTACATCTTCTTACTTTTTGAGACAAGATCTCACTGAGTTATCCAGGCTGGCCCTGAACTTGTGACCCTCTGCCTCTGGGATCAGAGCTGTGCACCACCACATCCCACTGAAGATGCTCATTTTTGCTATTCAGTTATAGAGCTGGGGCCTTCTGGGAAACTGAGGTACCATGAAAACCCCCTCCTCCTCAAACTGCAATCCTTGCAATCAACTCAGAAAGATTTCAGACATGTTGCTCAGAGTAATAGGAATAAGCTTATTGAAGGAATAGGAAAGGGGAAAGGGACACTGTCAAGGGAGAGAATGGGTCCTCTTTGAGAGGACAGGAACATGCCTCTACTGCACTCCAGTTGTATTAGGGATCCCAGAGAAGTTTCCAGAACGTCTCAGCCCAGGTCCACCTCTTGACTTTTGATTGACAGCAGAGTGACATCAGACTTTCAAATCCCCACTATCATGACCACTCGAGGTCACATTGGCCCATGATGACCAGTTCCAATTGGGTTCTTAACCATACATTCTTACACATTTTATGGTTATCTCTCAGTTTCTCCAGTGTTCCTCCCATTGACATTACCTTAGGCCTGCATTTCTCCTGCAGAGAACAGTTAGTTTGCTGAGGAATGTGCCTTACCCTGTCCAGTTAGGCTGGGCAATGCTATAGGTAAACCTCTTCTTGGAAAAGAAAGCATGAGAGGTGCCAGTAATGTGGACTGTCTGCCTGTTACACTGAGCCTGACCTCCTAGGCTTTCCTTAGTAGAAGTGACCCCCTTAACTTTCTCTATTCCTGCAGAACCAGCACCAGCACATGGATGATGCCAAGTTCTGCTATCAGATCATGCAGTAGCTGAGCCTCATGGGATTCTGGCTGCAGCAGCCTCTGCTGACTGAGCGTGGTGACACAACTTTCTAGGCACTTCTATGCAAGCAAGGTGCCACTGAGGTTCTCTTCTCAAAGGCATTTCCCCTTCGACATCCCTGTGCCTGTAATGGGCATGGTCTTGCAAACTCCTAAGACACCCTCAAGCCACCTTTCCTATTGTCTATGTGAAAGTACTTAGTATCTCTCTAGGGTATGTTATCTCTCTGCCATAAGCAC